TAAAGCTTTCTAGGTTTTTAACGTTTACTGTAAAGGCGGGATACTTGGAGTGGCCAAGCAATCGTGGAATCATGTTGCGGCCGCCAGACTGCTGAATGCTGCGGTGTTGGCCACCTGCAGGGATCATCATTGGACAAGTCTCAGTGTTGACCTGAACAACAAGGCTTCTTTGCACGTGGATAAGAACAATGCCCCGGACTATAGTTTGCTCGTTGGGTTCACCAACCATCGTGAGAGAGAGCTTTTCGTGGAGGATCGCCTGGGCAGTCGCCTGGTTCAGAAGGGCATTGTTCGACTGCGTGGTAGTGTCTTTGACACTCGCGCCTCCGCTGTGGTCTTCGATGGGCGCAATCTCATCCACTGCCCGCTTCCCTGGCAGAATTGTCGATGCATAGTGGTTGCTTACACAGTGGGACCTCATCACAGCATGACCCTCGAGCAACGGTGCGACCTGGATGATGCAGGGTTTGTTCCACCACCTCCTGCTACGGACCACCCTGTGCTAGCAGTAGATCCTGGCCAGTGTCGCATGGAACAATTCTTTCATCGCGGGCCTGGCTAGACCCACCAAGCTACTACCTCGAGCACTCTCCCTCTCATAGGAGGTTGTTCGGTTGATTGTGCCCCCTCGGTTGTTTCTGTGCTAGGACGGTTTTGATTAGTGCTCTGCCACTGCGCGAGTGGCCCAAGGCCAATGTTGCACAGCCAGCAACAAGTTTGACCGCATTTCAAGCGAACAGATGCTGATTGCTTGACGTCTCAAAAGCCATCACTTCGTGCTAGATTGCCGAACCCTGGGTTTGGAAACTCCATGTTCCATCAAACTTCAGTTGTGGGCATGCTCTATGATCGAAAAGCACTTTTAGAATGACAAGAAAGCTACATCGCTTCTGGTTTGAAGCGATCTTTCTGAAGTTCCTTTTAAATGAAAGATCTTTCTTGCTTCTCTCTTCAAAAATTCCGACAAAGTATCTTGAAGTTTTCTGCATGCTGCAAGCAAACTTCCACTTTTCCACTATCAAACTTGCACTTCAGAAGTTAGATTTTAAGAGAACTTTAAGAAGGGTTTAAGAGGTTCAAGGGGTTCAAAAGATCTTAAAGCAGTTTCCAGAGTAAGATAGGCTCAAACTGTCCCGTTTTCAAACCTTCTTCTGCTGGAGCTACTTCTTTGTGATCAAAAGAATGACTCTTCTGTGCCTCCACTTCTCTTTTCTAAGGTGTCACATAAGAGCTATTGCATAAAGCTCTAACTGCGAGATGATTTGTGCATCATCTGTCGGTGACTCGTTTGGAAACGAATCCAGCCCAGACACCTCCGACTTTGGCTTGAATGTTCCACTCCACTGCACCAATACTTGCCTTATCCGCCTCTCAGGATTCGTCAGTCCACACTGAGACGGACGGTTGGCCTCTGCAATTTATCGCACCCCTCTGATTTTCTTTGGGATGCCTGCGAGCCTTGTTGCCCCCTCTGGCACATTGCACGCTACTTGCTATCCAAGCTGTCTTACCCTTGAAGCTGCCAGTATGAGCGATTGTGCAATCCATGCTTTTGCGGGAAGCGGAGATATACCATTGCGCGACTCTGAAACGGGAAGCGGGAATCTGAGAGAGGCCGATGTTGATCCGAGACGGGTAATTCGTTCTGAACGACTCTTACCGGCTCAGCCTGTTGGTCGCAGTTTTAAGGTATTAGTTGCTTTTGAGTTGCTTCTTCTAGATTTCGTTCTGCATTCAACAGAAGTTGCTTCGCTCTTACGGTATATTGCGGAAATCACTAAGGACAATGAACGGTTCGTTTCGACGCTGGTCCGGGTGTAACTTCAGGCATACTTGCTGCTCTATTGGCTAGAGAAGAGCGACCCAGAAACAGCATGGCGAAGCAGAAGATGTCCGTCAAAAACCAGTTGCTTGCTTGAGCAATCTACTCAATTTTTGTTTGCAAATTTGTATGCTGTGTGCAGACAAAAGAGCTGCGTCAAATGGCTGCTCTTGTTCACGAAAGCTCGTGTCAATACCTTTGACACAACTTCTGAGTTGGAAGCAATGCTTACAAGCAGGCGCAGAAAGGCTATGAGGTGAGGGTACGCCCAAAGTCGTAGATGTCGGATTAAAACCCGTTGACATCGGTCTGTTGTGGGCAAAGTATGCTTCATCTTCTCCGCCTACTCGGTAAAAAAAAAGAAGAGAGCCTCGTTCTGCTCTGATTGACTAATATTATAAACCATATGTTCCTTGAGTAATTTTTGTTGCCATATGAATATTTGAGCTGATTGTTTGGCACCTCGTTTTGAGAAATAATCTTTTTAGAAGAATTTTCTTGTCTTATTCTTTTTTCCATCTCTCCCACGGATTTTTGGACTCCAAGAGCATTCGTGAGCTTAACAAATTTGAAGTGTTTGCTTGTTTCTTGTTGTTGCCAGATGCAAGCAACTGGTGTCTGGTTTTATTTCCGCTGGAAGAAATGTGTTTACATTCCAACCTCTGCTGGTCTGCTAGTCATCTTCAGCGAGAAATGTTCCATCTGCAGCTTGATCTTCATGCTTGAATTCTCGCCCCGACGGCACAGTTGTGTTTTGGATGATGTTTGGTGCATCCGAAAGTGTCGTAAATAAGTGCAGAAGCATCTTCGCGTGTTGAGACCTCATAGGTCTGTGGTCATGACATAACACCATGCATGCATGTGCTTGGTGGGTTGGGTGGGTCTGTTTGGCTACGTGGCCACTCTATTGTACGCAATGTGGTGTGTATTGTGATGTGTTGTTCGCGCCTCCCTTTGGGCACGACACCGTGAACATTTTGGCCGCGACTTGTTTCTCCATATCGAGAACATGCTAAGGGTTGCGTGCAGGTTTCGGGGTGTGACTCCGCTGCCACAGTGCGCTGCGTGTTGTGGGAGTGTGATGTACATCTTCGGCCCATGGGATCTCGGAAGCTTCAGACTGTTGGAGTTTATGCGCTTGCAGGGTCTGGACTGCTGTGCTCTTCCAGTCTACGCTGGCATAAAAGCGGAGATCGTGCCTTATGACATCGGGAATGATTCTTGCTGTGCCAATGAATTGAAATAGCCTTCTTCAGCTCGAACCCTTCTGCGAGCTGACCAGCTTACTGTCAACTGGCGATCTGCGTTTCGCAGGGCGTGGCCCGGTTCAAGTTGGCAGCGCACTGTGGAACTCAGCACAATCTCCTGCACGCTAAATGTTTGAGGACCAGTTGTTTATCCGATACGAGTCACGCACTTGGTTACTAACTTGTCCCAGGCTCAGAAACGTGAGTGGAGATCGCCAGCCTTCGGAACATGTGACATGAATGTTCGGGGGGTCAACGGTATGATTGTTTGTTTGCGCCAAGGTCCTGATGTCGCAGCCATGTCATTCATTGGGCAACGACTGTACAGGACAGCGTTGTTGTCACCAGTTTGCTGTGGGATGCGTGTGGTTGACATGGTTCATGGAGCAGGTGAATCCAATCCATATTGTGAAGAACTCACCCGACGGCACGACGCTGCTAATCAGGCACAGAGGTACCAAGATACGTATTGCTTGTGGATGCTTGTCTTGGCACTGACAGGGTGTGCATGGCCATGCAGGAGTCAAGAGGCCTGCATACAGAGGAAGTGAAGGGCCGTCTGATGCTACGTACTCTGGCATTCAAAACTTCCGTCATGGCAGGTACCATGGCCTTTGTCTTTGTGCTTGCATGTTGCTTGTCAGCTCCTCAGTTGTGTAGGTTTGACTGGACAAATCACTGTCCTTGGCTGTCAGTTCGTTCAGACCGAGGGGGTGTACTACCAGTCGCCGGCTGCAGGTGCAAATCGCCAGGCAGCAAACACCATCAGATTGACAGTGCCTCAGGGCGACTTGCATTGTGCCAATGCCAGGCGACATCCATCGATGAAGTTGGTTTTTCAGCAGCTGCGACACCCGTCACTCGCTTTGCAGAAATTTTTACCCAAAGCATGACCGTCATGGTGATCAACTCGTGTAACACTTGTGGGGCTTGCAGCTCCAGACCATGTCAGTGGAGCATAAGGCGCCGCGCACGAATTACTGAGGACCTTGCCATTTCTCCCATGCAGGTGGACGGCAGTCACGAAGCTGCACTCGCACATTTTCAGCAGTGTGCAGGTCTTGTTGAGTGTCCGGCAACGTATCGCATCTGCGGCCAGATGCTAAGTCTAAAAGCGTCTCCCGTCGATTTCTTGTCCCTGTGGTCCACGAGGCTCTGCGGTCAACCAGCGTTCCTTCATGCACTGAGAAACAACGTCCACAGGCTGGGCCTGTCAGGAAGCATATGCCGGATGGACCCCCAGGTCCAAAGAGCATAGCTTTGCAGGCAGTCATTCAAGTACTAAATAGGCAAGTCAGAAAACTGTCTGCATCATCCTCGCACCGTTGGGCGACTGGCTCAATCTGATGCATGCTGTGAAGGTTTTGGACCGTGCGGCGACCTTGTGTTTCTTAGTTGCATCGGCGCACATGTAGTGGGTTCCCACACATAGGAAGACAAATCGCAACTTCAATCATTACTGGTGCCACGTCTTAGCCAGGTTCCTTGGACTTGGACGAGGAAGCACCATACATATCCCCCAACGAGACATTGTCTTTGCTCTCGCCCCAGCTTGCGATAAGCAGTGGAAGTTGGATGTATGAGATTCAAATCTGGTATGCAGCTTGGAGCAGGAATCAGTCGGTCATGGAAGACGGGAGAGCAGTGGCCGGCATGGCTTTGAGGGGTAGTGCTATGCTCACAGAAGCCACACGGTGCACGGCGCTCTGTACGTGTCGAGCCTGCCAGGATTCTCACTTTCCTGGCAATGTGCCTGAGGGCCACATTACATTGAACCTAGAAAGATCCGAGCAGGCCGGTGCATTTGTGACCATGGTACTCACTTCTCGGCTTCGTCATGTCGTCAGTAAGAGATTCGGCCGCAGTGGCCTTCGAGCTACCATGCTTGTGGATGCTGCATTGCCGACACTGGAACAAGTGTGTCGCGAGGAGATTGACATCATCAACGACGTGGTACATTACAAGAGTGCGTACTATGGCACCATCATGGTCGGCAATCCGCCTTGCTCCAAGATCGAGAGTCCAAGACCTGTGGAGAAGCCCTGGGGATGGACGTCAAGCCGTGGTACCTCTGAGAAACAAAGGGCGTCGGTTCAGCCGGCACCCGGAACTGTCGAGTTGTGTGCGGATCCTGCGCTGCAGGAGCCCAGGATGATCCAGGATGAACATGGGAGCGGTGTAAGTTGTTGAGACAGATGTTCCACACGTAGTGTATTGTGTTGGCAAAGAAAATATGAGCTGTGAGCAGTTGTTGATGGTTGAATCCAGCGCAGTCACCGCTGATACAGAGAAAGACCGACAAAGAGTCAGAATGTCAGAATATGATAAGAAGGCACAGGAATACGAACCCTTTCCTGTCCGACCCCTCCGCTCCGCTCCGGGTCGCTCTCGGCCAAGGCCGAAGCCCTTCACCGTCGTCTTCGACACAGGAAGCGGGCACTTGATACTACCAAGTTCGTGCGCGACATGACGACCTGCGGCATTTGCGTTTGTCTCTTTCCACTGGCTGTCTTCTGGCAGAAGGTATTGCCACACTGCCACCTGCAAAGTACATCGGAGGCAAGGTGAGGGTACGGAGCACGGACTTGGCAAGGACCGACGTAATCTCCAGGTACAGGCGCAGCTCCTCGAGTACCGCACGAGACATCGACTGGGATGGCCGCGTGGTGTCAGCCTTCCTCGGCCCGTCGAAGCATGGGATTCGCAGTTTCCGAGATGAGGTCAAATCCGGCGAAGCTCGTGACCAGATCACCGCAGAGCTCTTATTTGCCCAGTGCGGATGTAGGAGTCTGTAGGAGTGTAGGTTCTTCATACTGAGACCCGTGGCTTGCCGTCGCAGGTGTCCTTCGGCACCGGTGAGGTGACTGGTGTGTTCATGGAGGTCACTTCTCGTGCTCAGCATGCAGCGGTTTGCTACGAGTGTTCGCCTCATGGCCAGGATGATCTATGCTTCGGACAGCGCGGTCCGGGCATCGATAAGAGCAGCGCAGACGTGCCTGTTTCAGGCATGGGCTTAGCTGTGGTGCGATGTGCAGTATTGGGTCTTCCGGTCGTGCAGGACAAGGCGGCGAAAGCTGTGTCAGCATGCGTTTCATTGCAGCAACTGCATCTCGGCCGCAGAAGGGAAGATGCTTGAAATGAGTTCCACAGTTTTCGATGCCGGGCCGAGTGGAACACATTTCCATTTGTGGTTTCCGTAGCTGTTTACATGTTGTCGGCTGTGTGATGACGCCAAGGCCAAGGCTGGAATTGCAGAAAATTGAGTTGAACTTAGGCGCCAATTTTAAGGAGATGCTGTAAACAAAGCCTTGTCGAGCTTGCTGGTGAATAGCAGGATCTGACATCGCTTCATGGAATCAACGCCATAATCAGACAGGATAGCCGTCAGACCAGTCAAGACAGAAATATCCTAGTCCTAATCCCAGCAACCTCCATTTTTGCATGGGCCTGTCGTGCGGCCTGCTGGCTGAGTGCCTGTGACTGGGCGGCCTGTGTCTGTTGGCTGTGCATGAGATGCTTCCGAGGACATGTCCGCAGATCCTTTCAAGGTGGCAGCAGTCATGTGAAATGTGCTGTCCACAGTTGTTCGACGGCTGCGCTTCTCACAGGATTTTGTCTTCGACGGTGTCCTCGGCCTCGGGTTGGAAAGCCTGTCGCAGACATCAGCTTTCAATTTCCTGCAGGCTCCAATCAGTGAGGGCCAGCGGGGGAATGCTCCGGTGATCTTTCCTTTCAGGTTGCCTCTGGCCTGACAAGTGCGCCTGGAACCGAGCAGACAAAGGAGGGGTCTTTGGGGTGAGTCACGTGCAGAAGACACTAAGTCGCGGGAGCGACTTCAGCAAAACCTTTGGCATCTTCTTGGCGACTCACAACGAGGAGGACGGGAAGCCTAACATCCTTTTCATGTCAGCGACGTGTGAGATCACTACCTCATGCTCAGCTTGCGTGACAGACGAGCCAAATTACGATGGGCGGCTGGGCTGAAGAGCACTTGCAAGAAGAGGCGGGGTTGGAGTTGTGCAGCCCAGTCTTGCGTTCTTTGACAAAGAGCTCTAGGTGAGCTGGAGTCCTGTGCTGGACCCGGAATTGGGCCACTGGCTCCTGAAGATCCAGGATGGAGCTGATGCAACGAATGCAACGTGTGGATGCCAACTGCACGTTTGACTCGTCAAGGCGATCTGGATCGATGGTGAGAAGCTGCCTTTCTGCGACGAGGGCTGCAAGGTGCCTGTTGCTGTTGGTGGATGCAGCTCATTGCTGGCTCTGGGAAGGCCGTGGTCGACTCTGGCACGTCACTCCTTGCAGTTCCGACTCCAATCTTTCCGGAGCTGTATGAACGACTGAGGCACGAGATGGCACGAGGAAGCCCCATGCAAACAAAGCCCTCCTGTTTGCAAGGGCGCCGGCATCTTTGTCGGGTGACTGCTCGTCGCAATCAGCTCAGCAATTTTTTTGAGTTCATTCGCTCGACATGCAAGCTTAAGTAGCAAGACCGGCATTGCAGAGGCAGAGCCCCAGTCTCAAGATAGAGCTGAATGGCTTCACGCTCACCTTGGACGGGGAGGCTGTTTGCTACCAGTTGATGTGTGCGTGCTGCCGATAGTGGTGGACAGGATTTCAGCCGGCTGGACCAAAAGGGAAGCGTGCGTGCACCGGCATGGGGCCAGTCGCAGACACCCGCAGAGGTCAGTTGGGTTGAGACTGGCTTCGCACAATTCCTGGATTCTCAGCAGGGCGCGACCCGACGGGACATGATGTGCAAGCCGATGCTGATGGTGATGGATCTGTCCGTCGCCGATCTGTTCTCCTTGCGTTTGTGCTCTTCTTCTCTTCGGGTGGGGCTTGGGCCCAGGCCAGAGCCCATAGGGCCGAAGCTCTTCATCCTCGGCGAGCCGGTGCTGAAGACCGCCTGCGGTGCATTGCGGCGCTGCATGCGGGCGCTTCCGCATGGCTCCGTGCAGGAAGTTCTACACGGTCTACGACGCGGAGAAGAAGCGCCGCTGGCCCAAGTGTCGAGATGGCTACAAAGTCACCCAGTGCGAGTGACTTGAGGCATTGGCTTTGGCCGAGCAAGACATGCTGTACCGTCTTCTGAGATTGAAAGCGATACCTGGTGGAACGCCGCGGACAGCCTGCGAGAGTCCAGTGTGTGTTCGTGTGTGCGTGTGTGTGTGTGTGTGTGTGTGTGTGCGGCCAGCACTCGACTCGTGCAGGAAGAGGAGCTAGCCAAGGCTCCACGTGAATGCTTCTCTGAGTGCCTGGCCCGCGAGTCATGCGTCATGTCTCAGACTGCGTCGCAGGAGGTGGGTTCTTCTGGTGCATGAGGAGTTCTTCGAGGTTGGTTGTTGCATCCTGGATTTTGTTTGCCCTTGGCATTGACTGGTTTTGAGAAGCATGTGGATGCAGTGTGTTGTGATCACCAGCCGTCACCGAAAGGGTTTGCCCCAGTGGCTGGAAGCTTGGTTTGCTCTGATATCTGTTCCATGTCAGGTCAGCTTCCACTTTGTCGACCTCAGCGAGTGAGGGCATTTTTCTGATGAAGATTCTGAGCAATATTTAAGACAAGGCATCGCATCACTACGCAATTGCATTTGGCACAGCTCGAACCGGAAGAAGCATAATCCCCAACGAGTCTCATCTACATGTGCATGCAAGTTGGGATTGTATGTTTCACCAGACCGACTGAGGCAACGAGATTGTGAAACCGGCATGCGATGGATTTCTGACAACCCGTGGACCCTCTCAAGCTCGGCAAAGAGCGAGGATTCTGCCGCAACACTGTGGTTCAAGTCCAGTCGACATGAGTGTCTTGCACTGTGCAAAGCTGCAGAGGCTGGGCTGATTTCCAGATTCCAGGTGCTTTCTTGGGAGCTTACTGATTGCAGGCAGCTTCGGCGTCCAGCCTTCCAAAGGCTCAGATGTCATGGCAGAGACAAGTCGGATCCCAAGAGAGCTCCCGGCACCCGGATCCTATCCTTGCAGCATGGGCTGGGACGTCGAACTGTCAAGGAAAGGCTTTCCAAGGGTCCATCGCGAGCCCCTGTTCTCCCGCAGTGCATCAGCTGCTCCCCGGAACACTCTCCCTCTTCCTGGTAGTGCGCCTGTCTGCTGCTTCTTGTCTTCTCGGCCCCCGTCCACAGGCTTCATCCAGCCCCCCGCTCTCCCCCCTCCCTCAAACCAAAAAGTTTAGGGTTTACGGGGTTTAGGTTTTGGGGATTTTATGTTCAAGGGTTTGGGGCAGCTTAGGGTTTAGGGCAGTTTAGGGGGCTGGTAGGTTTTAGGGGGTTTCGCCGAAGGTCTGGACCTTGCCCCATCATCTCCTCGACTTGACTACACGTATTGAATTACAGGATTCGACTGTCCCAAAGCTTTGGGGGCTTGATGCATCTGGGCATCACGAGTCTACGTTCTCGACTTCCTTTTCACGCAGGCTCGACTTTCTGATGGCTGTTCTCCGGGACTTGTGCCGTTGGCTTCTTGCGGATCTCACCGTTCTGCCTTGGCGAAACAATAGGGCCCCATGTGTGCGGCGCACACAGCATCCTTTGATGTTCCGAGAAATGCCTGAAAGCTTTCGCTCACGTCCGCAGACTTTATTTGTGCAACCGGTATTTGCGACGAGGAAGGCTGCAGCATCGGATCTGTCAGAAGCCCGAAGCAGGGTGTGTGCATGTGCGCTTCCGAGGCCTGCACTCGGTGCTCCCGATACCAGGGCAGCCGGAGAACAGCGGACGTCCATTGCCTCAGCTGAAAGAACGCCAAGAGTATCCAAGCCTTTTGCGGGACGCGGAGTCTTGCCGGTCGCCAGGTTCAGAGAACCAGTGGGGGGTGTCCTTCAGCCGACGGTCGGCATCCTTTGGCTCGGAAAGCTCGAGCTCGAGCGAAGGAGCCTATGACCTATGAACTCATTATAACTCTTAGTTTCTTGGTGTTCCTGCTTCTGTGTTCAGACCTGAACTTCCGAGAGGCAGCGATGAGGACCGAAAGGATGACGACCACGTCCGAGACGCGGGACTGTCATTCAACTGCCCACGCGCAATTAAGAGCTCCGAGGCACATCAGCGGCATGCAGCTGGTAGAAGGAGGCTTTCCCTGGCGGTGCTCCCGGCACGGCATTGACATTCCTGTCGTGTTGAACTTGTGCTCGAAGTTTCTCTGAGCTTCTTGATGCTTCTCGAATTCCCAGCTCTTGGCAGGAACAAGCCAATTTTGCAATGCAAGTTCAAGGGAAGGCGGAAGCAGCAGAGGATGTGGAACGACAGCAGAAAGACCCTGGATGCCTCAGGAAGGCACACTGCGGTGAAGTCATTGCTGCCAGTGTGCAAAATGATCCCGTCGGTGCATGTGAGACGGAGGTCTGCAGCCTTGCCACGCGCAAGCGGCTTCTCAAGGTCGCGAAGTGTCCGGTTGGATCGAAGCATCTTCAGATCCATGTGCTGACCACCCCCTGAGGTTGTTCGCAGTCGTCCTTTTGTGCTCTGGATTGCCTTCATCATCACAAGCAATGCTGTTGGCGGCTTGATGTTTCGAGCAAACAAGAAACAGCTCGGGTAAATACGTCACTCAAATGTATCCAATGGATTACAATGGGTGATATGAGGTCTACATGGGCATAGAGGTGGATGCCAACCAGGGCGGTGAGCGTGGCATGTGGGCAGCTTTTGAGGTGCATCTTCTGCTTCTTTATCAAATTGTCTCCATATCCACCATAGCAATATGAAATGAAACGAATGCACTGTGTTTGCGACATCAGATACTCTTTTCCGTGTTGTTTGCCTTCGAACTGTTTCTCCGCTTGATTGCTGGAACCTCAGTGTGTCTAGCTAGACCATCTGCGCAATGCAGTGCCTGCATTGACAGCATGGTGACGTTGCTCCCTGAGGCAACCATACCTGTGATGTACTTTTTCTACAGTGGGTGGAGCCTCCGGCTGGTGTTGAGCGTAAGCGCATTGGCCAGCAGGCTGTGGTCTGTGCAGGGTTTTTTGTCCCTGTTGGACAGGAATCTGTTTGACCTGCTGATTGTTGCAGCCTCCATTGTCTGCAACTGAAGTCTCCGGATCGGATGAGAGCTCATCGCTGCAAGTGATTGCGCATGGTGGCACGCAAGGTTGACAACATATTGACGTTTGCATTGAGGCGGACTCCTTCTCTGTGGAGGGTACTCTTCTTGCGATTTTGTGTGTCTGCAGGAACACAAGCGACCTGAGCAGATTTTCGGTGTTGCGCCTCCTGCGCCTCATCAGAGTAATTCGAGTGTTCAGGCTCGGAGCTTGGGCGGCACTCGTGTGCTTTTTATGCTTTGTGTGGCTACGTCGATGCGAGACTGCCATGTTCAGGCTGCTTCGTATCCTGGACGGTTTGTGGAAGTTGGTGAAGGGTATTCTGAATGCAGCCTGGACTCTGTTTTGGACGCAGTGGCCTGAGCATGTGCTAGTATGAAGACTGCAGCATGCAATCAGTGTCATGACAGAGCTGATTTTTGACGAGGATGGTTTTGCTGGCAACCGTGATCTACATTTTCAGCATTGTTTCTACTCGTCTTATTGGGCATATGCACTTGGGTGACGCCGTCTCGTTTTTCAACAGCCGCGAAGCATCATGAGTTCTGGATTGCCAGGAGATCCGTTCTTCGACGAATACTTTGGTTTCGTTGGGAGGTACCGGGCTACCAGCTGATGGGTTTCAGACGTCTCTGCCAAATTTTCGGCCGTGAAGGAGCATGTTGACGCTCTTCCAAGCAACAACGACCGAAGGATGGGCAGACATAGCGAGACAGGCGATGAAGCGGTATAATGGTCCAGTCCAGTTCCAATTTCAAAACGTGTAAATTCTCTCATTCCTCGAGGTAATGGACAAGCAGCCTTGGTTCTCTCTCTTTTTTATCCTCTACCTGCATGCAGGGGCCCCTGCCACACAATGGAGTTGAATTGTGAACTGAACATGCCTGCAGCCAGCTTAGGTAACGACTTTTGCCATTCTAAACGTCATGGTCGCTGTCATTGTCGAGAGCACGCTGGACGAGGCGTCTGTGCAGTCCGCTTGCATCCACCTGCAAGCTGTTCATTGATTCAGGCGGATCAGAGCAAGCTCAAGTCTGCCGAGAAACGGTGTGGCGCTCGAGAGCGTGAGTGCTGGCATCTCTCTAGTTCCACCCCTTGCAGGCTGGAAGATCTCCGCCGTGCTTATGACAAGATCTACAAGGTTTCTCGCCGGTGTGGCGTCGCAGCTGGTCAAGAAATCGGATTCACGCACCTCGAGGTCTTTCAGGACGGTGACTGCAATCAGGATGGAGCTGCAACCCTACCAATGTCACCGGTGCAGTTTGTGGTTGGAAAAGGGTCAGAAGCTATCAGGGCATGTCTGCAGGTCCTTACCCGGGAGGAATTTCGAGAACAAATCAGGCAACCCAAAGTGGCTAGGCAAGGGGCTCGGGCACGTGGCAGATTGGCTTAGCATGACTTGGAAACCTATGAGTCAGATCGAGGTATTTCGAGGAGATAGGGATTGACCCTAACGAAGCGGAGTATCTTTTCACGTCCGGATCTTGGCGCGGTTTTGTATCATTGCAGCGGGAGCCTTGATCCCGTCTTTGCAGCATTTTGGACTACGACGGCAGTGGCTCGCTCGATGCGGCTGAGTTTGTTGGAGGTCTTCTCAAGGCCAGCACCGGTCGTCATGTTCCAGCGGGACGCAAGAGCTATCTCGCTGGTCGCTCCTCACGGGTTCTTCGGGTATCCAGACATAAGTTCGCTGGTGCAGACTCACGTTACCGCTCGGCTCCAAGAAGGTCGCTTGTGCGTTGTGGGGGTGCGAGTGGCGCATGTGGAACACGATAAGAAGGCTTTGGTCGTCTGTACCTGTCCGAGTTGTTGGGACGTTGTCTAGAATTGTGATCCGGGGACTTGGAATGACTGGAGTGGAGCAAAATTCATTCTTTCTGTGAGAAATCTGTGCGCGGCGTCCTTGAGTTTGGAGAGGCCTTTGTGAGAGCAGGCTGTGAGGATCTTGTGAGAAATCTGTGAGAAGTCTGTGGTGGTTGCAGGGGATCTGTGAGAAAGCTGTGAGAAACCTGTAAGCAGGTGGTGTTCGGGTCCGGCCGGTGGCTCCGTTCCCTCACAGCTTTCTCATCAGAGCTTTCTCACAGCTTTTCTCACAGACGCTGGGCCACCGGTTTTTATGTCTCAGGTTTCTCACAGAACCTGCTCACAGGTTTCTTATTTGATGATTCTCAATGATTCCGCGTTTTCCCCGGCCACAAGTCTGGAAGCTTCTTGCTGCATTCAAGTAAGCAAAGTCTCCTCAGATCAGCCCAAGTCAGACCAACGAACCAAAACTGAAAATCATGGCTTTTGCTGTAGGCACAACAGCAACAGGAAAAAAAACGTGCTATCAGCTTTCTCCTCAGTGTTTGCAACTATTGTGCACAAACAGGAGTTATACTGCAAGCACGAAAACTGCAAGCATGCAAGTGCAAAGCAAACTGCATTTCCAAAGCCAGCAAACTTGTGGGCCGTTCAAGTCGTCCGAGGTTCGTGCATCATCAGGTTACCTGCAAGTTCAAGGTTCATCATGATTCCGCACGAGTTCGTGCCATTCCAGAACGCTTTTGTAGGTTGACACCCAACAAGGATCTGGAGTTTCACGTGTGATCTTGGGCTTCCGCATCGAGTCTGGTTGCAGGGTTCAATGCCATCACGGCCCAAGAACTTGGAATACACGTATCTCGCTGCCTTCCCAAGCATAAGTATCACGCTCTGAGTTCTTGGACCTGTGTCAGGTGATCGGCAGTGCGAAAGCAAAAGACATCATGGCAGTGCATTGCGAGTTGCGCCGCTCAGAAAAAGAGGTGCTGAGCCTATAACTTTGGTGCAAGTAGTGGCTGCCGATCAGATGTTGGATTTTCTCCAGGGTCGCCAGCAGATATCGGTTATGGAAAAGCGCATCGGCCGGCAGTTGGACCTTGTGGAGACAGGCCGCCTTGTGCATGTTGGATTCTGTGGCGTTTTGTCGTCTGTGTGCAGCCTGTGAGGTGTGCAGTCGCTCAGGCAAGAGGTGCATTCTCTCGCGTCAGCCATTGGCGTAACATTGAGTTCATGCGGGAAGCTTAATGAAGCTTACATGGCTTGCACGGTTCATGATAGGCTTCAGCCAAGGCGGAGCCCACCAGGAAGTGTAGGCAACAGTTATAGAAAGTTGCTCCGGAAATTCTCGACTCGAAAATGTTACCTGATAGAGTCAGATTGCCCGTGGCCCAGTCGGACATCTGTCTTCCCGTGGCTTCCACATTGCCAGCCATCGCTCCATTCGGACATTCGATACGGCATGAAACCTCTGACTGTGGAAAGTTAGCAGGTTTTGGCTTTGGTTTTGGCATTGGGGAACCGAGAGGAGTTTCGTGACGGGCAATACATGTTTGCCGAAATTGACAGAATCACCGGCCATTGAGCGCGAGCAAGAAAAGGGGGGGGGGGGGTTGGGTCTGCGAGAGATGCAACATCGCAAAAAGTCAGGAAGTTTTCAACGTCGAACAGACGTGACCAAGGCACGATGACATGAGGCAGCAGCTCGCCCTGAGCCTTGAAGCGATGCAGCCCCGGGCTTCAGCGGAGGCTTACTGCATAAGTGCTTGGACAAAGTGTCGGAAGGATCCATTGCCGGAAGCTATTGTTCTCACTGGTTCCATGCAAGCAGAGTCCGAAACTAGCAATCCTGCTGACAATGTAGCGCTAGTCTGCTAGCCCGCATAAAGACTCCTAGCCCCAACCTGTGAGTGCTTCGACAATTTCCACCGTGGCTCTGCTTGGGTATTTGGTTGAGGACTGTTTAAAACAGTTCCAAAACAGAAGCCCATCATGTCTGTTGTCCACGTACCACTGCTAGTCCCACAGGTGTGTGCAAGTATGGTGGAGAGCTCTGGAAGTAAATTTGCAGTCTCAGAATTCAGCCTGCGTGCGTGGTCTACCAGAGGTTGTCAAGCAAGTCTGGGCCACGCCGTGAGAAGGCTGGTTTTTACGACAGCCGCGAATTTGGCGAAGTTCGAAAACCTGAGGCTCTGAAATGCTCCGCAGCACCGGAGGTACATACACTAATACATCTTCAAGAAGTCTGCGCAAGCGAAACGATGACATACTTGTGGGGAGCATGGGCTCGGTCGGGACTGCGATTGTCTTTGCTTCCGGACCTTGCAGCATGCTGAAAGTCAACATGAACGCGACACTAGTTCAACAAAACGTGGAAGGCTTTGAAACTCTGAAGTGCCTAAACCTTGCTGGAAACAACCTGAGTCTGGAGGCAGCACTGGAGCAGCTTGTCTTTTGCTGTGAATCGCTTTGCGAAACTGAGGCGTGACCGTGGCATATGTGGTGGTTGCAGGCGGTGGCGGTGGTGGTCAGGGGAGGGAGGACTGTTGCAAGGCACCACTTGGGAGGTTTCTGTGGGACGAGGTGGTGACTTCGGGATCGAAAGCTGCTCGCATGCACTGCCTGCCAGCTGAAGAAGCCACAAACGCGAAGAATTCTTGCTTGGGGGTGGTTGAGGCCACAAGCGGAGGCTACTGGCCCCAGAGATCCCCTAAGCAGGTTTGTCTGGTCTGTGCATGCGCAGGCACAAGATTGACGCTCTAAGCATCTTCGACACATGCAGTGGAAATTTGCGCAATCTCAGCCGTGCTTTAACAATACTGTGACAATGTCTTCAGCCGTTTGAGCTTCTTAAGAGCAGATCGGAGTTGCTGCATGACATGGCGCACATGGAACGAAGTTTCTCCTTTAGTTGGCTTCGGTCAGTTAGCGTCGGCCAACGGATGTCAGGATTCGCAATGCAAGCAATAGCCAGACACTCCTGCCCTTTGCCAGACCCTTCTGGTAACGAGTTCTTGTAAAGCTTAAAGCTGGGGCAGAGTCGAAGAACTTGAGCTATTCTTCACAGAGGCCCGACATGAGATTGCTGCTTTGACTTGGGGTGGGTTCCATGGGTTCCAGTGATGCAGTCGGGCTGAAAGGCCATGCTGCACAGCCGGATGATGTCAAGGCGCTGTGCTCATGGGCTTGGCTTTTTGAGTGAAGGGATGTGGAAATTCTGAAAGTCCCCGTTCCTCGAGGCCACTTCGGGCACTGGGCTCACTGGGACGTGGCCTGTCGCAAGGGGAGGCTAGCCTGGCAGCAGCGGCTGCATACCAGCAGCCCCCAACAAAGGTCGCCCGCCGTATGCCTAGCAACGCTTCGCACCCCAGCACCGTTCACCTGCAGGTGACGACGCTTCCGAGTGGCATGAGAGTCGCCTCGCAATACACACCTGACGAGAGCCTGGCTTGCTTAACCTTACCTTCTCCTCCAGGCAACAGATGGAAATAATGCGCCTGTGCTAGGAGACTGTCACAGTCGGCGTTTGGATCGATGCAGGCAGCCGCTTCGAGACCAAGGACCCTGCAATCTATCAAGATCGTGCAGGCATAACAGCCGGCTGGCCTTAGACACCTCCTTGCAGGAAAACAACGGCACTGCTCACTTTCTAGAGCACATGGCCTTCAAAGGCACAAAGCGGAGAAACCGAATTCAGCTGGAGCAGGACTGTAGTAACTGTAGTATTCACCAATTTCACCAAAGCTGCTGGAGAGCGTGGTTCGCCACAGGAGATCGAAAACATGGGAGGGCACCTGAATGCGTACACCTCCCGAGAACAGACGGTGCGCGGCACTGCGGCGAGCCCCGCAATTCTTTGCGGGAAGCGAGCGGCTCCGAGGTGTACTATGCCAAGTGCTTCAAGACGGACCTGCGCAATGGCCGGGGTGTCGGTACAAAGAGACAGGGCAGAGGGAGAGAGAGAGAGAGAGAGAGGACCTTTCCGGGTGCTAGTGTTCGGGGTTGGGGGC